ATATTCGCCGAAAGTCACTTAGCATATTATATTAGCCGAAAGTCACTAGGGTCTGCTTGTAATTGTCTTTCTTGTAAACCCTAATCTTCATGTATAAATAAGGGGTGATATCTCATCATACCCTAAGCTGGTTACCCAAGCTTCAATCTGGTCAGTATCTAAGCCTATTTTGATCTACTTCGCTGACAAGATATGACCTCAAACTAGTAATCGAGCATTGCATGCTGTAGTAAATAACTCCATCATGGACTGCATATTTTATATCATAATGTTGTACACAATGTTTCTATGTTTGCATAATTTTTATGAGGACACCTCTCCAAGGCTTTCCATAAGAATGCTAGATGAAGGTTCTTGATGTATTATAATCCTGACCAGATCAGTTCTCATGTATGATATTTTGGGGAAGATGAACCCTTAGATTCTTTGGAATGATTAGTGTAAGCCCTAGTCGTGCCTCCTGTATAGCCCACCTCTTATATTTAGTACTTTAACTATAAAAATCCAAAATATGTGTCATGCATTAGTGCTTTCCATAATAAACATTAACATGTCTCTAACCATTTTCAGGATGCTCTTGCTATCTCTGAGTGGAAACTAGCCATGATTGAGGAAATGAAAGCACTTAGGAAGAATGGCACTTGGGAATTGACTGAGTTACCTCCGGGCAAACGACCTGTGGGATGTAAATGGGTATATACTGTGAAACACAAAGCAGATGGGTCTATTGAGCGTTACAAGGCAAGACTTGTGGCAAAAGGGTTTACTCAGACATATGGCATTGATTATCAGGAGACCTTCGCACCCGTGGCTAAAATGAATTCAGTCAGAGTACTTCTCTCTCTAGCAGCTAATCTAGATTGGCCGCTTTATCAGTTTGATGTCAAGAATGCTTTTCTCCATGGTGACCTCGAAGAAGAAGTATATATGGACATTCCTCCGGGTTTTGAGGATCATCAAACAGAAGGGAAAGTATGCAAACTTCGGAAGTCTTTATATGGTCTCAAACAGTCTCCAAGGGCTTGGTTTGAGAGATTCACTCAGGCTATGTTTAAATATGGCTTCAAACAAAGTCAGGCAGATCACACATTGTTTGTGAAACATTCCTCATGCGGTCAGACTACAGCGCTTATTGTTTATGTAGATGACATAGTTCTTACAGGCAATGATAGTGAGGAAATACCTCTGTTGAAGAAATACTTAGCCAAAGAATTTGAAATCAAAGACTTGGGAAGCTTGAAGTATTTTCTGGGAATTGAAGTTGCTTGCTCTAAGGATGGGATATTTATCTCACAGAGAAAATATGTGCTTGACCTGTTGAAGGAAACTGGGATGCTTGGCTGCAAGGCATGTGCCACCCCACTGGAACCTAATCAGAAATTGGGGGATGATGAAGGAGGCGAAGTTGTGGATAGGGGGAGCTATCAACGTTTAGTGGATAAGCTCATTTACCTATCTCACTCCCGTCCTGATATTGCTGTTGCTGTCAGTGTAGTTAGTCAGTTTATGCATGCTCCTCATCAGATTCACCTTGAGGCTGTCATGAGAATCTTGAGGTATTTGAAGTCTGCTCCTGGTAAGGGTCTGTATTTTTCAAAGTATGATCATATTCGTGTAGAAGCCTATACAGATGCTGACTGGGCTGGGTCAGTAACTGATAGGAGATCAACTTCAGGGTATTGTACATTTGTCGGCGGCAACCTAGTTACTTGGAGGAGTAAGAAACAGAATGTGGTTGCCAGGTCAAGTGCAGAAGCTGAGTTTAGAGCTATGGCACAAGGTGTGTGTGAACTTTTATGGATCAAATTATTGTTGAGTGATCTAGGTATTGCTCAGACGGACTCCATGCGGTTATACTGTGATAATAAGGCCGCCATCAACATTGCTCACAATCCAGTTCAACATGACAGGACAAAACATGTTGAGATTGATCGCCACTTCATTAAGGAGAAACTCACTAGTGGTACCATTTGTACTCCTTTTGTTCAATCTGGTGACCAACTTGCTGACATTCTCACCAAGGGAGTTGGGAATAAACCGTTTCACGACATATTAGGCAAGCTGGGCATGAGAGATATCTTCGCACCAGCTTGAGGGGGAGTGTTGGCATATTATAATCACCGAAAGTCACTTAGCATATTATATTAGCCAAAAGAGTCTGTAATCATTTTTTATGCACTCAGGGATTGTAATTGTCTACCTTATAAACCCTAATCTTTATTTATAAATAAGGGATGATAGCTCATCATACCCTAAGCTGTTACTCAAGCTTCACTATTCTCCTTACGTTTCCCACAGACGATGCCAAATTGTGGGTGCTGATTTCCGACCACATTGTCAAACAGAAACTCAGTAGGAGAGCACAAGCAGAATAGATTAAGCCCAAATAACTTATTACAGAAAGATAAGAATCCAACAGCGATTCGTCCACCCTGGAGCACTCCAACGATCAAGTCAGCAATTATCTCTCAAAGATAACCGACAGTACTTAACTCACTAGACAGAACATAAAAAGTATATCTTTAACCTACAAGAGTGCCTTACTTTTATATCCAGTACTAACCTGATTCTTGTAGAAGCCTAATTTCAATAGACTACAGCTCAATGCTAATCTAAAACTCCCAGCCAGATAGAGATAAACTTTCTAAAAGTTTTACCTTTATCCAAACTGAGGTCCTTCCCTATTCTAGAACTCTTGTCCCTTATCCGTTCATCTCGGATTCTGGTATCTCCACAGATAATCTCAGCCTAGCCGAGATCACCTTAACGCCATGACCAAGACATGTGGCACCTCAACTAACACTTCGGTGTCACCTTGGCCACATGTTGTCATTCACAAAATATGTCTCTACAGAAATCATAATAAAATCTGTTAAGATAACAAAGAATAATAATTATACATGAATCATTTTCAGCTATTCAATTTGTATACCTTTTTCATTTTCTTTTTCTTTTTAGGCCTCCATTTTGCTCACAATTGAAGTTTACTCTCTCTCTCTCTCTCTCTCTCTCTCTCTCTCTCTCTCTCTATATATATATATATATATATATAGGAATTTGAGTGTTTTTGGGTTCTGTTCTAATGAATGCCAAACAGGGATCTTGAGCAGTGCATCTCAAGACTCACTGGTTGTTCCTCTTTTTTTATACTAACAAATTCTTTGCTTCTTGAATTCATGGATTCTATCAAATTCTCTATAAAATCTTACTCAGTTCTGTTTCTTTTTTTATAATTTCCTAGATGCGTTTATGTTTTTCTTATAGAAGTCCATATATTTGATCCTCGACATCTTATCAAAAGTGAATAGACAAGAGAAATCAAATAGAATCTTGTGTGTGATACAACTTAAGCAACCAAAACATACATAGGTTACCATAAATCTATCCTTTGGTGTGTTCAAATGTCTAAATAAACCAATGTACCATTTTTTTCATTTCTATAATTGTACCTAATATTTGATATCATTAATTCTAATAAATTGCCACAATTTGTCACTAACACTTCAGTCTAGAGAGCACTAAATCTGAAGTGGCAAAATTGAAGAGAAGTTTCACTAGGTTATGAAAGAACTATCTAGCTTCCAGGTTTTTTCAAAGCAATTATTCCATAAGAGTGCACACTGCATATATAATAACAGAACTATTTCAATGGAGTTGAAGCATGTCTTTTCCTATTTATATCTTCTCTTACCGTAATAAGAAATGTAGTGAAAGCAATTCAAGTACAAAATGAAATGCAATTCATTTTCAGAAAGAGAAAAGGCACACTTACACGATCCAAGTTCCGGTACTTGGAAACCAAAGAATAAGCTTTCGTAATTCCAATTCCAGGAACAGATGGAAGAAAATCGCAGCCAGCTAATACGCAAATGCCTGTGAGAAAGCTAGAAGATAAATGTATCTCCCGTCTCAAATAAGTTCATATATATGATAGGAAGGAACCGCAAAGGGTTGTATAATTTTTAGAATTATAAGTTTGTAAATAAATTTGAAGCGTCTCAAATCACCTGTGAAAAGCTCTTTATCAAAACATTGGAAGGAAGGCACACAAGATGCTGACTCAAAAACCTTGTTTTGCACTATCTCTTCACCATTGCCATAGCGATCCATCTTGAAGACAACCTGCTTGCACCCAATGCAAAACATAAAAAGTCAATTAGTGCTAAAAATGATGCTCGAGTCATCAATATCAAAGGCCCGTTTAGTAGAGCAGTAGGAAAATGATTATAGATCTTATCTTAATCGATTATAACTTACAACTGTGAACATAAACTGTTAACCTATTTGGTACAGCTGTGGAAATATGAATTTAAATAGCAAAGTAATGTTTGGTTGATAAACTGTAAAATAATTTTTTCTGTATAATTGACTTTTTTGCCCTTATATGATATAAAAATAATAATTTTGTAATTTTTTTGAATTTTAATTGAAAAAATTTATTTCATTAATAAAAGTTAACATAATTAGTATTAAATAGCATCAACTAATATAAAAATTAATACATTTGATAAAAATGTAATAAAAGTATTATTGTAACAATTTTTTTCCATTATAAATTAATTGGTATCAATTAATTGCTTAATCAGTATCAATTAATACTAAAATTATTAATTAGTATCAATTGATGGCTTAATTAGTCTAAAATAATACTAAAATTATTAATTAGTATCAATTGATATTAATAATTAATTTTTATTAGTATCAAATAATATTAATAATCAACAATTGTTATTAATTAGTATCAATTAATGGCTAAATTAGTCTAAATTAACACTAAAATTATTAATTAGTATCAATTGATATTAATAATTAATTTTTATTAGTATCAAATAATATTAATAATCAACAATTGTTATTAAATTAATTAATGGCTTAATTAGCATCAATTAATACTAAAATTATTAATAGTAAATCAATTAATGGCTTAATTAGTCTCAATTAATACTAAAATTATTAATTAGTATACATTAATATTAATAATTAATTTTTATTAGTATCAAATAATATTAATAATCAACAATTGTTATTAATTAGTATCAATTAATAATTAATTTATTACAAAAGTATACAATATTAATTTATTAATAATTACTATTGATTTTTTAATTAATATTTATTTTTTTTCTTTTCTTCAAAAATATATAATTTTTTATTTTTTAATTAATATTAATATTGATTTTTTCCTTGTTTTTCAATTTTTTTCCTAGGGTTTCAACGCCGCCGGCGAACAACCGCCGATGGCTAGGGTTTCAATGCAAATCGCGATCGCGACGACGACGGCCACGACCACAAACAATACAAATCAACACACACACAGAGAAAGAGAGATGGCAGTGGGTTTCAGATCGCAATCACAAAGAGAGAGAAAAAGTGACAGAGCAGATCGTGATTAGGTTTCAGATTGCGATCGCGATGGCGGTGGTGACCAGAGGTGACGACGGACCTCTGGTTCGTTGATGCGATGGTGGTGGTTCTCCGATCACAACGTTAGGGTTTCAGACCGCACGAACCAGAGAGAGATATCGCTAAGAGAGAGGAACCAGAATGTCGCCGGAAATCATCTCTTGTCGTTGAAAATCGCCTCTCTGGTTCTTGAGAGAGAAAAATGAGTGTGTTTTGGTTTATATACATGGCACACTTGTAATAAGTTGAAATTGTGAGGGGCATTTAAGTCATTTCGCCCCTCAAATGGGAGCTTCCCGCTTAAGCTGTTTTGGGAAGCACCTCCTCCCCCACTCAACCAAAAAGCTCAATTTTCACTTATAAAAAGCTATAATCTACACCCATAAGCTATACCAAACACGCCAAAATCACTTATTTTAAGTTATAAGTGGATTTAAGTTGAAAAAAGGCTGTGCCAAGCAGGAGCAAAGTTCTGTTGAAGTTCTTACAGCTGGACAGCCATATGCCAATAGATCACTGTCCTCTGAAATCACTGCTACAATTCCACCTTTTTCTGCTTCAAGGCTGGATAGGTATGCTAATTGTGCATCAGCTTCATATGGAGATACTACAAATTCAATGTTCTCTGATCTCAGCATCTGAAAAATCAACAGTTGAAAGAATCAAAGATTATGGAGAATGGCAAATTGGTACTTTTAATTCACAGTAGGTGATGGAAAAACACTAAATAGTATTCCAAGTTGCAAATAGCTGATAAAGAGTCGCAATTTGGTACCTGAATCAGTTGATGTGCTGTTGATGGAGTGATACTCACTGCCCTCTGCAAGTGAAAACAGAAAAGTGAGTATGAATGCTTGATTGTTTCGATAATTTGCATATAACACATAAGTATCAGAAACTCATAAGACATTATTAAAGAACTAAAAGGAGATTGTTAAAAATAAAATTAAAAAATTCCGCAACACCAGAAATCAAAAAAAAAAAGAAACTTTTAAAATTAGGACAGAGTGGTTGTAATTCATCAAATCTTAGATAACTGTAGTCTATAGATTTCAATATATTAAATGGTCAGAAAATAAACATTGGTTAGTACACTGTTCAATAGTTTCTTATTGACTTGGTTATCAATTAACACCAACACAGAGCACTTTTCTATACATAAGTTAATCCAAATTAGGATAAGAGAGAAAGAACACATAAACAACTGAACATAATCCAACAATACTAATAATACCTGGAAGAGTTCAGAGGCAGCATTGAAATTGCCTTCCTTGAGCTTTTCCATAGCCAAATCACGGTTGGCTTTTCTTCTCCTAATTCAAGTAAAATTAAAGGTCATCATCTCAACAAAAGCACCAAATGGGTAGACTCAATCAAATACCATCAGTATGCTAAGTAATGACATGCCTGTGTCGCTCGTTCTCAGTGGTAGCCTTACAGGGGATATTCCCGCCATCAAAAACAACCACCGGAATGATCTTATGGTGACGGAGCAGATTGATTCGGTGCATAAAGTAGTTCAAGTACTGAAATTTCTTTTCACCCTCCATATTGAGAGAAAGCTCCATGCTACATGAATATGCTGATAATTTCCCCTTGTTATTTTCCAAAAATAAGATTATATGCAGGCATCAAGAACACAAAAACAATAGCTACAATGTTGAATGTACAGTAGTTTTGTACAGTAATTTTGAACTTATTTGTGAAACCCAACACATTTCTGTAATTTTTTTTATTTTATTTTTTTTTTTTTTTAATTTTTTTTTTTTTTTTTTTTTTTTTTTTTTCAAATAATATTAATAATCAACAATTGTTATTAATTAGTATCAATTAATAATTAATTTATTACAAAAGTATACAATATTAATTTATTAAAAATTACAATTGATTTTTTAATTAATATTGATTTTTTTTCTTTTTCTTCAAAAATATATAATTTTTTATTTTTTAATTAATATTAATATTGATTTTTTCCTTGTTTTTCAATTTTTTTCCTACAGTTTCAATTTTGCAGGCAAACAACCATCGGTGGCTAGGATTTCAATGCAAATCGCGATCGCGACGGCCACGGCCACAAACAACACAGATCAACACACACACAGAAAGAGAGATGGCAATGGGTTTCAGATTGCAATCACAAAGAGAGAGAACAAGCGACAGAGCAGATCGTGATTAGGTTTCAGATCACGATCGCGATGGCGGTGGTTACCGGAGGTGACGACAGACCTCTGGTTCGTTGATGCGATGGCAGTGGTTCTCTGATCGCGACGTTAGGGTTTCAGACCGCACGAACCAAAGAGAAATCGCGAAGAGAGAGAGAGAGAGAGGAACCAGAATGTCGCCGAAATCGTCTCTTTTAGTTGAAAATCGCCTCTCTGGTTCTTGAGAGAGAAAAATGAGTGTGTTTTGGTTTATATACATGGCACACTTGTAACAAATTGAAATTGTGAGGGGCATTTAAGTCATTTTGCCCCTCAAATGGGAGCTTCCCGCTTAAGCTGTTTTGGGAAGCACCTCCTCCCCCACTCAACCAAAAAACTCAATTTTCACTTATAAAAAGCTATAATCTACACCCATAATCTACACCAAACTCGCCAAAATCACTTATTTTAAGTTATAAGTGGATTTAAGTTGAAAAAAAAAGCTATGCCAAACAGGAGCAAAGTTCTGTTGAAGTTCTTACAGCTGGACAGCCATATGCCAATAGATCACTGTCCTCTGAAATCACTGCTACAATTCCACCTTTTTCTGCTTCAAGGCTGGATAGGTATGCTAATTGTGCATCAGCTTCATATGGAGATACTACAAATTCAATGTTCTCTGATCTCAGAATCTGAAAAATCAACAGTTGAAAGAATCAAAGATTATAAAGAATGGCAAATTGGTACTTCTAATTCACAGTAGGTGATGGAAAAACACCAAATAGTATTCCAAGTTGCAAATAGCTGATAAATAGTCGCAATTTGGTACCTGAATCAGTTGATGTGCTGTTGATGGAGTGATACTCACTGCCCTCTGCATGTGAAAACAGAAAAGTGAGTATGAATACTTGATTGTTTTGATAATTTGCATATAACACATAAGTATCAGAAACTCATACGACATTATTAAAGAACTGAAAGGAGATTGTTAAAAATAAAATTAAAAAATTCCGCAACACCAGAAATCAAAAAAAAAAAGAAACTTTTAAGATTAGGACAGAGTGGTTGTAATTCATCAAATCTTAGCTAACTGTAGTCTATAGATTTCAATATATTAAATGGTCAGAAAATAAACATTGGTTAGTACGCTGTTCAATAGTTTCTTATTGACTTGGTTATCAATTAACACCAACAGAGAGTACTTTTCTATACATAGGTTAATCCAAATTAGGAAAAGAGAGAAAGAACACATAAACAACTGAACATAATCCAACAATACTAATAATACCTGGAAGAGCTCAGAGGCAGCATTGAAATTGCCTTCCTTGAGCTTCTCCATAGCCAAATCACGGTTGGCTTTTCTTCTCCTAATTCAAGCAAAATTAAAGGTCATCATCTCAACAAAAGCACCAAATGGGTAGACTCAATCAAATACCATCAGTATGCTAAGTAATGACATGCCTGTGTCGCTCGTTCTCAGTGGTAGCCTTACAGGGGATATTCCCGCCATCAAAAACAACCACCGGAATGATCTTATGGTGACGGAGCAGATTGATTCGGTGCATAAAGTAGTTCAAGTACTGAAATTTCTTTTCACCCTCCATATTGAGAGAAAGCTCCATGCTACATGAATATGCTGATAATTTCCCCTTGTTATTTTCCAAAAATAAGATTATGCGCAGGCATCAAGAACACAAAAACAATAGCTACAATGTTGAATGTACAGTAGTTTTTGTACAGTAATTTTGAACTTATTTGTGAAACCCAACACATTTCAGTATTTTTTTTTTTTTTTTTGGTGGGTCTAGTGAGTTGTTTTTTGTGCATTTAAATTTTTAAAAAAGTGACTAAAAAATCACTAAAAATAGAAAACTAAAAAACAGTTATTGAAGACAAAGTCAAACAATGTGTGATGGATTTGGTCAAAAAAAGAAGTCCAATAATACAGATTCAGAATCCTACCTCCCTTGTGAAGCCATGAATAAGCATCAATACCCACCTGAAAAAGAATGCAAAAATGTAACTACGAAGAATCTGACATCGATAGATATACATGAAATGAGAGGAGGTGAATATATTACCCGCTTGCCCGCATACTTCTTGATGTGAATGGGTTCAATATGGGGTTTCATGAACCTGAGAAGATCTTTGATACCCATTACTTATACACTGGACTATACATGCATATATATATCAATTTCAGGGTTTGTGATGAAGAAGAATGGAGATTTGAGGATTGGAGAGAAAAAGTATTACCCAGAGGGAATGGCGGGTATATATATGTATATGTTATATTTTATATTAGGGGTGATTTGGTAGGTGAGAAGGTACTGTGAGTAATTTGTGATAGCCAATGAAGAGAGTCCACGTAAGAAAGTAAACATGCTGAGGGTGACGTGGTGAAGTGGTATGGGTGTTTGTCTAAACTATTTGGTGAGCCGGAGAGTAGCTTAGTCGTTTTTTGTTTTTATTACTACTAGCTCTTGATTTTTACCGCGAAATGAGTTTTGAAATTTTTGATTTCTCAAAAATGAAAAAACGCCCGCCAGAATTGGTCGGGTTTGCCAAACGCTCTTATGGTCGGCGTGTCAAACACTTCTCAATCAACGCACTAAAATAGAAGTAATGAGAAACATTTAGCCCTTTTTGTTTCACTGCAGAAAAAATAGAGGATATAATTTGACGTGAGATTTAATTAGGATATATAATGAATAAGATATAGGTATTGGATAGTATATTCCTCAAGTCATGTTTGGTGACTTGATATATAAGATTGGATATATGTTATACATGTTTGTTTTACAAAATATATTATGGGATATAACAAGAATTTTCAAGATTGCCCTCATAATATTATATTATATTATATTATATTATATTAAATTAAATTCAAAATTTGTATTATATTATATTAATTAAATAAAATAATAATATATTATATTAAATTCAAAATTTGTATTAAATTATATTATATTATATTAAATTCAATAATATTAAATGAAATTCAATAATTATATTATATCAAATTCAAAAAAATATATTAAATTATATTATGTTGGATAGACAAAATGGTAAATTGGACTTTTTACATCATATCCTAACCAAGGGAATATGATATAATAGGGGGTGGTAATGTATATCCTCCACTTTTGGGGGATATACAATCCCACCGGATATTATATCCCCTTCAAAAAAAATTGCAAATATGGGATATATGGACCCCGCCGGATATAATATCCAATCTCAATCTTCATATCCCCCAATCAAACAGGGCCTTAAAGCTATGTTTATTTAGGATAAACTTCCCTCCATATTTAGGGGTTGTTTGAGTGTCTTAAATAAGTGTACTTTTTGTCTTTTTATACTAAAAAGTTGAGGTTGAAAATGTGAATGTTTGGGTTAACTTTTTGACTTTTTTATGAAAAAATGTGTATTAAAAAATTGTATAAATTAATGTGTAGGGGAAAATTAGTATTGGGAGTTCTACAGTTGTAATTGTTGACTTTTGGTGAATAGTAATAACTTTTTAACTTTTTAAGTAACTTTTTGACTTTTTTGAGACTCTCCAAACTTGGCCTTACATTTTTCCATATATTCAAACTCCTTTTGTGATTTTAAATTCGACTTCATAGCAATAATTTGAATCATTTACTTTGTACATCCCGTAATAAAAGTCATCCATGAAAAAATCAATTTTAACGAACATCTATAGATATAAAAAACAAATCAGGTTTTGTTTTATAAAATAAATAGCAAAACTTAAATAATTCATTTTGTAAAACAAAACGTGATTTGTTTCTATATTTATAATTGTCTGATAAATTTAATTTTTTGTATGGATAATCTTCACTGTAAAGCCTAAAAAATAGATGATTTTGATCATCAAAGTGAATCCAAATTGAGATCCGCAAGAAGAATGTGGATTGTTTATGTAGAGAAGCTTATCCCATTTATTTTGGCCCAAAATAAATTTTAAAAAAATTGGAGAATTTTTTTTAAGGTCTCTGGTATTAAGATTTTACAGCATAAAGGACACTCAATATTTTCATAATGTTTAAGGTCCCTCAAGCTGATTCAGATAAAATTGGTCCAGAGAAAATTCACGTCACAGATAAATTTTCCACTATAAATTTCTCTACCCTCACCTTCTCAAAATTTCTCTGCCTTCCATATACTTCCCACTCTCACAGAGAAATTTCTCTGCCTTTCCACAAAATTACATCTCTGGAGAAATTTTAAATTTCTTTACCTCTCCTAGACTCAACACTTCAGAGAAATTTGAAAATTTCTTTGCCTTTACCGGCCTTCAATTGATCAAAATGAATCTAGAAAAATTTAAAAACCCAGAGAAAATTGGTCAAAATGAACCCAGAAAAATTTGAATTTTCTCTGGGTTTGATGTGTATATAAGAACCAGTTTGATGTGTATGTGTATATAAGAACCAGTTTGATGTGAACATAAGAATCTGTTTGGCCACTGAGATATGTGTATATTTTGGTCAAGAACACTGAAATATAAGAACCGTGTTTGAAAATATTTTGGTCACTGAAATATATGAACACCAAACTAGTTCAAACTGGTTCTTATATACATATCTCAGTGACCATACACATCTGTTTGGTCAATCCAAACCAGAAAATTTCTCTGGATCAACCTAGAGAAATTTTAGTTCAAACCATAGAATTTCTCTGGACCAATCCTAAGTAAAAAGAAATGAATTGGCATTCATCACAAGAAAAATTTTCCTTTGCTAGAAAATCTTATGCAATACTCACTTTGAAAAATACACTTCATTATCTATGCCCAAATGTTAGAGCATCGTAGATTTGCATATGCCTGATGAGTTCCATAGCACTGAATCTCTTACTCTGCGTTTGAGAAGATGATTGCGCATGCACACACAGTTAGTGAGAAAAGAATCTATGTACTAACATGTTTGGAAGGATAGAAAATGGAGAGACGGATTGGAAGTGTTACTAAGAACCAAAAAGAAAGTATAGGACCCATTTATCTCAGGTTCTTTCTGTGGTTACTTCTGCAGCGAAATGAAAGTAACTTACCAGAAAGGTTGCTTGGTTGGCGAGCTCAAGGTTGCCAAGGTGGCCGGAGAAGATGCGGGTCGACATCGACATAGCGTCGTTGATCAAATACACCATCACCGCCGGTCCAGCGAGTCAAAAAAGGATCTTCAATTCAATCCAACTGGCCAGCCTCATCCTCTTGAAGAATGGTAGTTGGATATCTAAAAGTACTTTTTCGAGCTTCGACCTCGATTCATAGGCGGCGGCGGCGGCGGCGGCAGTGGTGAACGGTGGTTCTGGTGGTTCCAGTGGCGGCAGTGGTGGTGGTTGGATGGACTGTGTGATGAAGCGACTGAGACTCCTTGGTGATGTTGGCGTAGTGTTGATACAAGCATGCGATGCGGAGGAGTACAAATTCCATGCTTTTCAATCCAGCTCCACCGCCATTGAAGCTATATATATATATATATATATATATATTTGTGTATATATTCTAAAGAGAGAGAGAGAAGTGGGAAGCTGAGGTTTGATTTCAGTCAAATTTCTCTGTGATATATATTTGTGTGGGAGTTGAGGGACCTTAGACATCATAAAATAATATTATGGATCTCTTCCATTACTAAAAATAGGAGAGGGACCTTAGACTAATTTTTTCTAAAAATTTTGGGTTGCTTTTGGTTTAATTTTGCAATTATAATTCTCTTTTTTGAGTGTAAAATTGTAAGTTGAGTTTTAAAAAGATAAAATTTGCTTAGTTATGAGTTTTAAAAAATGTTTTGAAAAGAGTTTTTGAATTTTGAATTTTAAAAAGAGTTTTGAGTTGTATTTTGAAGTTTTTTGGATTTTTTTTAAATATTTAAAAATTTTCTTAAGTGGACAATGGGTTGACCATCTATGGATTGAGTCGGTTGGTTGAAAAATATCGATTCTATTTTATAGTTAGAAAGGAATATTTGTTATTAAAATAAAAAATGGACGATTTGTAATTATTAGGTTAATTAAAATTTTAAAAATTATTTTTTATTTTATTTTATTTTATTTTATTTTATAAATATATTTTAAAATATTTTAAATTTTTTGTTATGCATTGATTAGTTAGGATCTAAGTGCAAAGTTCTGAAAATAGTGTGGAGTTTCAACTTATAGCTTGTTTGGAAAGTTGAGATTTTGATTTTTTTGGCTAAAATAGCTACAAAGAAACAAAATATGTTTTTTAGCCTAATAAGACAAAACATCATATCAAATCCATAATCATTACATTTTTTATCTCAAAAAAAGTCAAAAAAACTCTTTTCAAATGAAACTTTTTAACTCCAGACTAAAATAGCCAAAAAAATCAACCAACTTCCCAAATAAAGCCTTATTTATTTGGTTATGAGTTTTGAAAATAATTTTTGAATTGAATTTTGAGTTTTGTGTTTGGTTACAATTTGAGTGTGAATTTATATTTTGGGTTTAAAATATTAAAATTTGAAATTAAAATATTCACAAATAAAATAAAAATATTTAAATAAAATTGTTATATTTAAAATAAAAAATAAAATTTTCTTTAACATTTTTTAATATTTAAAAATAAATAAATCCAAAAAATTCAAAATTCAAAAACTCAAAACTCAAAATACAATCCAAAAAAAAAAAAAAATTCAAAACTTATCACCAAATAAATTTTCTCTTTTCAAAACTCAACTCACAATTCTACACTCAAATCACAATTCAATTCCAAAACCAAGCCAAACGCGACATATAACAATGACTGAAAAGGCAATTTAAGATTTTTCTCAACAGTTATTATAATAGAGCTTTACATAAGATCATCTCCAGTCATTCATATTTTCTTTCATCAAATTTAAATTTGATAAAAATTTTGCTCAAAAATCATCTCCAGTCATGTTATCAAATTAGGGGAGAGTTTTTTTTTTTAATCAAATTGAGAACTCATCAAATATGAATTTGATAAAAATTTTAAAAGATGAAACATTGGAGATGATGATTTTTTCATCAAATTTGAAGATAAGAGAAATTTTGAATAATAAGGGAATTTTAAAAATATATATATTTTTATCAAAATTTGATGGAAAAAATTGAATAATTCATATCAAATCAAGCTTTTTACTCAATTTTAGAATCAAATTAGATAAATTTTAAAAAATGGTGAAGAATTGAAGATGCTCTAAGTATTTAAAAACAACTCAGGGTCCGTTTGACAAGGAAGGTTGGGGCTAAAATAGTCACAAAAGACAAAATAGGCTATTTTAGCCACAACAAACAAAACATCACATCCAACTCATAATCATTACACTATTCTCTCACAGAAAAAGTCAAAAAGCCTTTTCCAAACTAAACTTTTTAGCCCAGGCTAAAATAGCAAAAAAAAACCAAAAAACTAGCCCACTTTCCAAACGGAGGCTCAATTTAAAATTTTCTCTATAGCCAAAAAAAAAAATACAGCCTCCGTTTGGGAAGTGGGTTGGTTTTTTGGCTTTTTTGGCTATTTTAGCCTGGGCTTAAAAGCTTGTTTTAGGAAGGACTTTTTGGCTTTTTGGCTTTTTTGAGTTTTTTTGTGAGAGAAGAATGTAATGATTATGGGTTGGATGTGATGTTTTGCTTGTTATGGCTAAAATAGCTTATTTTGTTTTTTGTGACTAAAATAGCCAAAAAAGCCTGCAAACCCACTTGCCAAACACAGGCACAGTTGCCAAACCAAGTTTAATAATGTTTCCTGCAACTATTATGCAAACTCCTGTAATAAATCATTTTATCAATTTTTTTTAGAGAGGAGTGATGGAGACCCCTTCCAATCACCACTCCCCACATACATGTGACAAGTGGTGATTGGAGGACAAGGAAAACAAAAAAAAAAAAAAAAGAAAATTCAACAAAATCCAATTAATAAGAGAGAGAAGAGGTCAAAAAGAGTGGAAAAAAAAGAGTCTTAGACATTTTTGTTTTTTGAATCCCCACCTAGCAAATTGAATTCCCTTCCTTTTCTATTTCAATCTCCACCTTAATACCATTGTAGCCCTCATCTTTTTGACCGCCAAACTTTTTTATGCAATTTTCCCACCACCAACAGTCCCACCCTGCTGGCGACCTTCCAGCACCTTCCTCACCAACGACCACCATTCCATAACCTCCAACCACTGCGACTCTCTTCCTCTTCCTTTTTCTTTCCAAATTTGGTCTCTCTCTCTCTCTCTCTTCTTCTTCTTCTTCTTCTTACATAGCGACACATTTTTGTCCAAACCGGCACCGTCGTCTGTGGCGGAAATCACGACAGCAGTTGCGATTGTTGAAGGAATCAAACAGAATGATTGTTCAAAGCCTCTAATTGAGATTGGCTATGACCCAGAGCTCCATTTGTTGAATTGGGTTGGGTTTAAATATGAACTTGGGTTCGAACACTTGTAGGTATAAGAGAAGAGGAACATAGGGTTCCTTCATTTCCACCACCACAAAGAGGCACGCAGTGGTGGCAAAATCACCGGAGATGGAAAAAGAGATCGCCAGCAACAGTGGCAATGGTGGTCTCCAGTAGAGATGGTAGTGAAAAGGTTGATGGGGTGAGGTTCAAAAAATTAGGATTAGAGTTAAGTTTTGAAAAATTAAGATTAAAATATTAGGGATGAAGATAAAAATGTCACTTCATGTTTAAATAAAATTAGAATTAAAAAAAAAAATAAAAGAGATGAGAGTCAAAGGAAAAAAGATAAGGGATAATAAAGTACCTTTTTTTTATTACTCGGGTGAATTAAAGGTAGCACAAGAATTCAAACGTCACATGACATGAACCAGTTTGGGTTTTGGTTATAGAAAATGAAGGATAATAGTTCACTTTCACCCTTCGTTTTTTTAGGTAAAAACATAATACAGTGTTATAGCATCCACCCTGGAGCTGCTAATGCTAGTGTTAGTGTCAATTGTTAAGATTACTAGCAATGTTTGTTGTTAGATCGTGCAATGGAGCTGTTAAGGGTAGTATTAGTCTACTTTGTTATTATGTTTGTTATCTGCAGCGAGTGTTCTAGCGAGGGAGGGGAAGTGAGTTTTTTGTTTTCCGGGTTGATCGGCCGGACGTCAGGCTGATTGACCGGTCAACGGCAAATATATATATTTTTTTAACTTTTTGGGTTTTTTTTTTTGCACTTGAAATTTAATTTTAGGCTTGAAATTTTTTATTAAACTAAATTATTTATTTATTTTATATATATATATATATATATTTAACACACACCTTAACACATCCATTGTAGGGGTGAGCAGCGGATATACCGATCCGTCAAAACCGACCGAACCGAACCGATCCGCCGCATTTTGGACGGATGTTCACATCGGCTCCGCCATCTTCAACGTTCATGTTGGTTGCTTCATCATTGCTCGGACCAGCTTCGCAACCATGATCAGGTTCTGCCCGACTTTCATTCATCAAACGGATGTCATCTGCTTCATTTGGAATGTCATAATCATCACCTTCCCTTTTAACTTCCGCTGGGGCCATACTGCACATGACATTGCTACCAACAATTACTTGATGACCGAAAATTGTTAACACAAACACAAACATGACATTTTCACACGGTTTACTTGTTTGTGCAAACACAAACACTCGCTTGAGAAACAGAAAGAGAAAGGTTAGCTGCCAATGGAGGGGTTTCCGTTGGAGCGAAGCGTAGAGCGGTTGAAGTTAGGATGGGGGTTTAGTTGAGGGAAAATAGCTGAAGTGAACGGGCCAGAGAGACAGAGAGAGGGACACAGCTCCATACCTCATATCTAGTTCGAGAGAAGGGCTTCACTTCAGCAATGGAACCAACACAGCCTTCTAGTTACGTCGTTGTTGGAAATCGCCCGTTATACTGTTCCCTACAGAGCTTCGTCAATGGAACGAACCCAACAGGGGCTTCTCCCTGTTAATGGAAATCAACGGTTACACTGACTCAACCTTACACAGAGAGGAGAACAGAGAGAGATAGAGACGAAATACAGAGAGTGAGTGGGATGCAATCATGCAAATACAAGCATTAACCGGTTGCCCCGGTTTCAACTTTTTCACGATTAAACAATTTAATGGTCTTGATCAATTATTGTAATCTAACGGCTAACAATTGGGTTGCATATGGTGTACAACCTTAAAAGAGTTGCACACTTAAGCATGACCCTTTTATGTAACACATAAAAAGTGAGATCAGAATTTGATGTGACAGAACACTCTTTAACACATCCAGCCGAAAATAAAATGACTAGTCGGATCTCACATTTAACACTCCACGAGTAAAAAAGTAACTCGACCGCATGACATACCCATAAAATAAAATACTACAATGGCTGGGATGGGAAGGGAAGGAAAAGCCACATCTGCATAAAGAACACACCACCATGGGACCAATGCAATTCTCCCAAGTAAAGCAGCAATTAATAAAAACAAAAATTAAACCCCTGCATCAAAGCATGCTGCATACTTCATTTCTCACCTGAGAATTAGGACTGGTGGTGTTTGGGAACTTAGTTCCGAATTTTTTTCTCATTTTTTCCACTAAAAGATAAACTTTTTACAAAACCAAAAAAATCACATTCAAACAAAATATCACATCCAACCCCATAATCATTTCACTTTTTCTCTCACAAACATCACATCCAACCACATAAAAACCCAACTATTTTCCCAAACACCAAAAATATTTTATCCAATAAAAACTTACAACTAAAAAAACCTACATAAAAACCCACTTCCCAAACACCATCATTATCTAGTGTACAAAATGTTCATAAGAAAGCTCAAACCAGGCAAACAAGCTTATAACTTCAATTATGGTCAAAACCAAATGTAAACAACTAACAAAATATCCAAAACAAACAAAAATAACATAGGCCACAAAGCCATCAAACACACAGAATCCAAATTATCCTTCCAACATTTCGACTGAAACCTAGATGACATAAAAATTTCTATAATGAATTGCAGTCAGAAACGACCAATCCCCCAAACTCTGACTATGCCATCAGTATATCCACTGAATAATGTGCTTCCATCGGCACTCCAGCTCAAGCTTGTGCAGTATATGACCTGCATATACAATGTAATGGCTTTTCAGTATTAAAAAGATGCAAAACAAACACTGGTTGCCATCATGTCCTCATTGTCATTGCATACTTGTGCTAAATGAACAAAAGTAAAGAACAAAAATATCAAGTGCTTGTGCTACAAAGACAAGAATAGCATAAAATTTCATAGCAATACTTATTGAAAAAATGAAGGGCATAAACCATGAGAATATTATAACTGTGCACAAGGACTGACCCCACTACTCATCAAATCCACAAGAAGTTGACAACAAAACTGAATTCCTCTTGGTAACAGCTAACAATGATCAATCAAGCTACTTCTTAGAAGACAAAGAAAGATACTACAGAAACAAACCATTTGCTAGCAACATGCAGTTTCGTAGCCTTGGAAAATCCAACCGCACAAGGCATACCAGTGCAGCATAATTAATAATGGGAAAGTCTGGGGACCCAGACTTACCCATCCAGAATTTTCTGGGGTGAATGATTGTGTGTTGGAGATTAATTTGTGTAGTGTGAGGTCCACGTGGGTGGTGGTGGAGTGTAATTTTTGGGTAATTTCTGGATTAATAAGGGTGGGTTTATAGTATTACTCATTAATAATTTCAAACCTTGTGGTCAACAACAGCCAAGGAATTATTGAACATTACAAACAATCATGCCTATATGCACCCAAGCAAATCCAGGGAATGAAATTGCTAGTGTCTGACATTCAGAAAACAATGACCAGAACAAAATTGTATTCGTAAACATACGTAAAAGACCCTGAAAAACATCGAGATTTAAAATCCTTGATAAGGAAATCATCAAGTGACACTACTCTGATACAAACTAGACAAAACATTTACAAGAATGTAGTGTGGTAGCTATCCTAAAACTTGATCCATACTACCAGTAAACAGTAAAACATGTCATGAACAGACACAGACTAGAAATGACCTTGAAATTGGAGATGAAATCACAACTGATGTGAATGTAACATGATTTTATTGAATTTACCATTTAAATGTATCAAATCTTTCTACACCTACGACATCAGCTTGTCAAAGTATAAATACGGTATTAGCAATTCAATTGTGGGCATTCAAAAAAATATTCTGAGCTTAAACTTGCATCTCATATTAAAATATATCCCAAAACAATATACAACAAATACATACTACCAAGAAATAACCTTTAGCGAACAATCATATATCAGAACCAATTCTAAAGTTTCAGGCTACACAAAAACATGTAAATCTCGTATGTCTGAATGAATATATAAAAACAGAGAGAGAAAGAAGGGACCTTGTTTTTGACACCAGAGGATTGCGTATTCCCGCCTTCGGCCATTTCCGCCTCCTGTTTAGCATCGACCCTGAGATCCACTACAATGCTCTTGCTCTCCAAATCCCAGATCTTGATGCTGGCCTCAGTAGCCGCACAGAGCCAGTACCTATTAGGGCTGAAACAGAGAGCATTAATGATCGAGCCAGCATCGAGCGAGTAAAGCCTCTTGCCCTCCGACAAGTCCCACAACAAAATAGTCCCATCTTTCCCTCCGCTCGCGCAAAGCGACCCATCAGGCGACACCGCCACCGTATTCACATAGCCAGAGTGGCCAGCGAGAGTAGACCTGATCTTACAGTTGGTAAGATTCCAAATCTTCACGGTCCGGTCCCAAGAGGAAGACACAATCGTCGGCTGGAGATTGTTAGGGCTAAATCGAACACAGCTGACCCAATCGGAATGAGCATCACCGTCCTGAATCGTGTACTTGCACTCTCCGAGAGTGTTCCAGAGCTTGATGCTTCGGTCTCGGGAGGCAGAGACGATCTGGCGATTGTCGATGGAGAAGGCAACGGAGAGAACGTCCTTGGTGTGGCCGACGAAGCGGCGGGCGGTGGTGCCGGCGGCGAGGTCCCAGAGGCGGAGCTCGCCGTCCCAGGAACCGGAGAGAGCGAACTGGCCGTCGGAGGACAGGACGACGTCCTGGACAAAATGGGAGTGTCCAGTGAGGCGGCGGCGGGGGAGGCCGTAGACCTTCTCTTCCTTGGTGAGGTGCCAGAGGATGATGGATTTGTCGCGGGACGCCGTCACGATCATGTCGGAGTTGTCGATTGGGGTGGCGATCGCGGTGACCCAGTCCGTGTGAGCCCTCATTGTTCCCCGCAGGACCAGAGTTTCCGCCATTTTCTCTCTCTAATCGCTCTTGCTCTCTAGGGTTTGGGAGTGAGGCCGAGGGGGATGAAGCAGAGTATATATATGGGCTTTGTTGGATAGATTAGGGTTTTGAAAGGGTTCACATGCTACTGTAGATTGGATGGGGCCTGGGTTTATCATCGGGTTTGGGAGGTTTGTTTATTGGATGGGGGCTGGGTTTATCATCGAGTTTGGGTTGATGGGATGGTTTGAGTGGGTCCAGAGTGTGGACAGGAACCAACTCATGTACATGAGAGTAGGGGTTAGGGATGGCAATTTGAAACTGGTTTGATGGGGATTCGACTCCCGACTTTGAATTGAGTAGATTTTTTTTGAAAAATACCTCCGTAGGAATGGGAATGGTATTTAAAAATTAATTCCCGAACAAATTTGGGCCGGGACCGGGGACGGGGATAAGTGTTTCAGCCCCGTACCCGGCTCGGCCCGTCCCCGTTCCCTGACCCGGTTTATCCCCGAACTTATCCCCGTATATATATACTTTTCGATCTACACTCATTTATTCACTCTATTCACTGATTTCATTTATTCACTCTCTATTACTGATTTCACTAAATCTATTCACTGATTCCACACACTACACTCTCTCTCTCTCTCTCTCTCTCTCTCTCTCTCTCACCCTAATCTAGATTTCATCTTTGTCTCACCCTAAGCCCACTCTCTCTCTCTTCTCCTCACCTCCGTTGCTCGTCACTGACTCACCACCAATCGTCAATCGAAGAACCACTCTCTTCTCTCTTCTCCTCTGTCACTCTCGCTCTCACTTTTCTTTCTCAAATTTGATCACACTCCGTGAATCACTAACAGATTGTGAATCACCACCTCGCCGATCGCCAACAGATTGTGAATTACTCTCGCCTCCGCCGATCGCCAACAGATCGTGAATCGTAAAGCCCTTAGATCTCTCTCTCTCTATATATATATATGTATGTATGTATCATCTCATTGATTGTTGATGTTGTTGTTGTTGACGAAGAAGAAACATAAGATCATTGTTGTTAGATTATTATTTTGTTCATTGTTGTTCATCTCAAGATCTATTGCTGTTGTGTTTTTTTTTTTTTTTTCGGGGAATGTGCGGGGTCGGGGAAAATCGATCCTCGTTAAGTGACGGGGGTGGGGACGATGATGGGTCCCCCGTCGGGGATCGGGGCTGAGGACGGGGTAATTTTCACCATCGGGGATCGGGGATGGGGAGGGTGATCCCTGGCCTCGCCCCGCCCTGTTGCCATTCCTAGTACGGGTGGTGGCCAAATGTTGGGTCGGGTCCACACGGTATAATAAGAGTCTGTTTGGTAATTATTTTATTTTTAGTTTTCAATGCATATTTATAAAATTTAAAAAATTACCATAAAACTTATTGATAATTTTTTTAGTTTCTAAATGATTGTCTCAGTTTATAAATTTGAAGAAAAAACATAAACTCAAAAAAAATTAAATGGAAATTTAAAAATTTGACTAACAATTTTTTTTTCAATTAATTTTTTTTCCAACAATTTTTTTTTATTATTATTTTTTTCAATTATAATGTATATGATCCTATTGTCATAAACAATAAAAAATATATATAACTATTTTAAGCCTGAACAAACATATTTTTTAGTTTATGTTTTTTAAAATATTCAAATATTTTGTTCAAACCAAACGCGTTTGTAGTTTATGTTTTTCTAAAAATAAACAAAAATCAGTTTATAATTTTTTTGTAAACATAAACAAAAAATGTAAACGTTACCAAACGCTACCTAAGGGTTTTGTATTTTTCTAAGTTCGATCTTGTTCTAACATTGAGCTTTTATATCTATCAAAGTCTGATCCAAAAAATAATTATAAATTACAAACCCGTCTATGAGACTATATGTTAAAAAAAAATTAAAATATTTCATAATTAAATTTAATTACATATTATATTTATTAAATAAATATATTGACATCATTATAAATTGAAATATTTTATATATAAATTGAAGGATTTCTTAAATAAATTGAATCATACATCATCACACAAGTTTCAATAAAATCATCAAAGATAAAGTCTAAATCTCTCTCACACCCTAATCTAGATTTCATCTTCGTCTCACCCTAAGCCCCCCCTCTCTCTCTTCTCCTTACCTCCGTTGCTCGTCACTGACTCGCCACCAATCATCAATCGAAGAACCACTCTCTTCTCTCTTCTCCTCTGTCACTCTCGCTCTCACTTTTCTCTCTCAAATTTGATCACACTCCGTGAATCAACAACAGATCGTGAATCACCACCTCGCCGATCGCCAACAGATTGTGAATCGTGAAGCCCTTAGATCTCTCTCTCTATATATATATATATATATGTATGTATGTATCATCTCATTGATTGTTGATGTAGTTGTTGTTGACGGTTGATATTGTTGTTGTTGACGAAGAAGAAACATAAGATCATTGTTGTTAGATTATTATTTTGTTCATTGTTGTTCATCTCAAGATCTATTGCTGCTGTGTTTTTTTTTTTTTTTGGCTCGGGGAATGTCCGGGATCGGGGAAAATTGATCCCCGTTAAGTGACGGGGGTAGGGACGATGATGGGTCCCCCGTCTGGGATCGGGGTCGGGGACGGGGTAATTTTCACCATCGGGGATCAGGGATGGGGAGAGTGATCCCCGGCCTCGCCCCGCCCTGTTGCCATTCCTAGTAGGGGTGGTGGCCAAATGTTGGGTCGGGTCCACATTGTATAATAAGGGTCTGTTTGGTAATTATTTTATTTTTAGTTTTCAATGCATATTTATAAAATTTAAAAAATTACCATAAAAATTATTGATAATTTTTTTAGTTTCTAAATGATTGTCTCAGTTTATAAATTTGAAGAAAAAACATAAACTCAAAAAAAAATTAAATGGAAATTTAAAAATTTGACTAACAATTTTTTTTTCAATTAATTTTTTTTCCAATAATTTTTTTTATTAATTTTTTTTTCAATTATAATGTATATGATCCTATTGTCATAAACAATAAAAATATATATATATAAATATTTTAAGCATGAACAAACATATTTTTTAGTTTATGTTTTTAAAAATTTTCAAATATTTTGTTCAAACCAAACGCATTTGTAGTTTATGTTTTTCTAAAAATAAACAAAAATCAGTTTATAAATTTTTTGTAAACATAAACAAAAAACGTAAATGTTACCAAACGCTGCCTAAGGGTTTTGTATTTTTCTAAGTTCGATCTTGTTCTAACATTGAGCTTTTATATCTATCAAAGTCTGATCCAAAAAATAATTATAAATTACAAACCCGTCTATGAGACTATATGTTAAAAAAAATTTAAAATATTTCATAATTAAATTTAATTACATATTATATTTATTAAATAAATATATTGACATCATTATAAATTGAAATATTTTATATATAAATTGAAGGATTTCTTAAATAAATTGAATCATACATCATCACACAAGTTTCAATAAAATCATCAAAGATAAAGTCTAAATCTTAATAAAAAAATACTTCTTAATATATTATAAATAAATAAACAGTTAATTAATTTAATAGCAGGGCGAGCCAGATTGAAAGTATAAACCCAAACCCAATCCATTAATATCTCGGACTAAAAATAATGACCCAATCCAACCCTATGGGCTAAAACAACATTTTCAAACCCTACAAAAATAGAACTGAATTAAGCGGGTCAACGAGCTGATGTCCACCCCTACAGACAAGATCATATGCATATGGGTAATTGGATATGACTTGAAAATGTGAATTATTTTGGTTGATTGAGGAATAAGAAGTCCAAACCTTGGAATTATTGGAACAATCTTCTGTGTAAAGTAAATAACTTGAAACAAATCAAACAAATAAAAATAAATTTCTTACAAAATTTATTTTACCCAAATGTAAAAGTACAAAAAGATCAAGTCGAGTGTGTGACACTCTATCCTTAAGACAGATTCGTCTCACCACGGTACTTACGGATAAATGGTGTCTACATCCCAGGATACAATGATCTTCACAAATTATAGTAACACTCTAAACAATCTGTACGGTGAACAAAACTTGTGTTTTAAACTCTCTGAATTTTTTCCTATAAAACTAGTGTGTAGAATAATGCAAATAGAGCAAAAATTCAAAGCAATAAGAGAATTTCTGAATACCAAACTACTTGAAATGATGTAGTATTTATAGGCAAAATAGGTGACCTTTAGATCTGCCCGAACAGGTACAAAATGGATGAACAAATCTGTTTTCAAACTGGAACAGGTGCAGTTCAAATTTGAACAAATATGCTGGAAGTTTTGGACAGATAACTGTTGGGCAGTTTAATCTGTTTAGGAATTTTCGGACTAGAAAATGTACAATGTTGGACAGAATTTAAATTCAATTTTGGCACAAAATTTGAATTAATTTCATTTAGAAAAAATAATTTTTACTGCAAGAATTTTCTGAAAAAATTCAAATAAATTTTGTCAAAAAAATTAATATTAAAACCGATCCGGCCCACAACCCACTCCTCGCACCCGAACCCAAACCTGGCCTGGCTTGGCCGGTCTAACGGATGGATGGCGGCAGCGGCACACGCGTGTGTGGTGGTTTGGGCTAAGGTCACTTTGTCTATAACTTCTCCATTCTACAAACTTGGGATGCCCCTTGGGGCCCAACTCAAGTTTGTACACCTAGAGCTTATATTCTCACAAAAGCTCACTTAAAGTTTCAATACGGGACAAGCCTTACAAGGAAACCCACATTTAATTCTTTAATTGTCCATTCCACGAATCCTAAAACGACGTCAAGTTCCTATTCGCTCGTAAATTGTTTTGACGAATATCTTCACTATGTGACTTACCATGTGGCAAGAAACACGTCATCTCTTTGGACCCACCCCAAAAGACGTATGGGGCCCACTCAAGTTTAGACTTAAAGTTGGCCCAAAATAAGCCTATAAAAACCAAATTTCTAGCAATCTCCCATATAAATGGAATTTGACAGAAAGAAAATGCAACAACATGATCTAATTACAGAGAGTACAGAAATTGAGAATAGTCTGCAAAGGATAGGTAGCTTTTGGCTTTGAACCTTCCATTGTGAGACACTATCGGATTTACTAGCAAACTAGCGAACATGATGTCTTGAACTGTTCAGCTATTTGTGTAAACCAAGACAATAGAACTCACACAGCATATTACCAGACACAGTTTAGTTCTCACTATTGTGTTCATTTTGGCTTTGAACAACGTGGTTTTTCATGAGTACTTTAGAGAATTGTAGCCCTTCACAAATCTCATAGAACCGGCCCAGTTCACACTTATATAGGTGATTCTTATGAAGAGTATCCTGCCATACTCCACTAGGTACACCTAGGTATAAGAATCATTAAAAGTATTACTTAACCTAAAACGCTATAGACATCACTATTTCATCATAGAAATAGGTAAGAGTTTAACTCCCCAGTGATCCTTCTGAGCCATACACAACTCGGTTGTCCCTTTGAACCTAGATCTTGGGATCTCCAGTCAACTAGGTTGGGTTGCCGTTGTGGTAACTCTTATTTAATAGGCTTAAGTCCTATTCCCTTGGATGAATTCTCAACTAACTCTCTTGATAACCTTTTAGTTAGTAGATCCGTTATGTTGTCTTTAGACTTCACATATTCAATGCAAATAATTCCATTAGAGAGTAGTTGTCTCACGGTGTTATGTATAGGTAATTCTTATGAAGAGTATCCTGCCATACTCCACTAGGTACACCTAGATATAAGAATCATTAAAAGTATTACTTAACCTAAAACGCTATAGACATCACTATTTCATCATAGAAATAGGTAAGAGTTTAACTCCCCAGTGATCCTTCTGAGCCATACACAACTCGGTTGTCCCTTTGAACCTAGATCTTGGGATCTCCAGTCAACTAGGTTGGGTTGCCGTTGTGGTAACTCTTATTTAATAGGCTTAAGTCCTATTCCCTTGGATGAATTCTCAACTAACTCTCTTGATAACCTTTTAGTTAGTAGATCCGTTATGTTGTCTTTAGACTTCACATATTCAATGCAAATAATTCCATTAGAGAGTAGTTGTCTCACGGTGTTATGTCGAAGATGAATGTGTGTGACTTACCGTTATACATATGACTTTATGCTCTACCAATTGCTGATTGACTATCATAATGTATGCATATAGCAGGCACGGGTTTTGGCTACATTGGAATATCTTCAAGGAAATAACGAAGCCATTCTGCCTCTTCCCCAGCTTTATCTAAAGGTATAAATTCTGATTCCATAGTAGACCTAGCAATGCAAGTCTGTTTGGAAGATTTTCAAGATATAGTCGCACCACCAAGTTTAAAAACATATCCACTGGTGGATTTCGAGTCTCTAGTATCCGATGTCCAATTTGCATCATAGTATCCTTCAAGTACTGCTGGATATCTAGTATAATTTAACCCAATGTTATGAGTAAATCGGAGATATCTTAGAACCCTTATAATAGCTTTCCAGTGTTCTACTCCTAGATTACTCATATATCTATTTAATTTACTTACTGCATAAGCTATATCTAGGCGAGTGCAGTTCATCAAGTACATTAAGCTTCCAACAATTTGGGCATACTCTAATTGAGAAATACTTTTATGTACATTCTTAAAAAGAAACAAATTAGCATCCACAGGTGTTCTAGCAAGATGATCATCATCGTTGCTAAAATTGTCAAGTATTTTCTCAATATAATGAGATTGTGACAAAACATAACCTTCTGGTGTTTTGGTAATTTTCATACCAAGTATTACATCAGCAATTCCAATGTCCTTCATGTTAAAATATTTATTCAACATTTTCTTTGTAGTTTTAATCGTGTCGTTATTACTACCTATGATGAGCATATCATCCACATAAAAATATACTAGTACATAACCTTTGTCTGTGTTTTTAATATAAACATATTTGTCATGATTATTAATTTTAAATCCATTTGACATCATTGCCTAGTCAAATTTTTTATGTCATTGCTTTGACAATTGTTTTAAACCATATAATGATTTAACCAATTTACACACTTTTTTTTTTCTTTTCCTAGAACAGAAAATCCTTCTGTTTGTTCCATGTAAATTTCTTCATCTAACTCACCATTTAAGAAAGAGGTTTTCACATCCATTTGATGAATTTCTAGATTGTACAAAAATGCAATGGCAATTAACATTCTAATGGATATTATTCTAGTAACTGGTGAGTACGTGTCAAAGTAGGCAAGACCTTCTTTTTGTCTATATCTTTTTACCACAAGTCTTGCCTTGTATTTGTCAATTGATCTATCCACTTTCATTTTCTTTTTGAAAATCTACTTGTACCCAAGAGGCTTGCAACCTGGTGGTAAGTCCACTAATTCCCAAGTATGATTTTGCAAGATGGATTTAACTTCACTGTTTATAGCTTCTTTCCATAAAAAAACTTCAGAATTGGACATAGCTTCTTTGAAAATTAAAAGCTCATTTTCTAACAAAAATGTTAGAAAATCTGGACTAAAAGATGTTGAGGTTCTAGCACGTTTACTACACCTAGGTTCATCTTCCTTATTTTGATCTATCTCTTGCTCTTGTTCTTGATCATAACTAGTAATAGCATTAAAAGATATTTTGTTAGTACTAGTCTCTTGTACAGTTTTGTTTGGAAATATATGTTCAAAGAACGATGCATTCCGAGATTCAATAATAGTATTTATATGCATTTCGGAATGTTCTAACTTATGAATCAAAAACCGATATGCACTACTATTCTTGGCATAACCAATGAAAATGCAATCAAGGGTTTTAGGACCTATCTTAGCCTTTTTAGGACTAGGAATAACCACTTTAGCTGAACACCTCAACACTTTTAAGTATTTATAGGATAGTACTCTCACATGCTACATTTCATAATGTGTTTGATTCAGTTTCTTTTGGGGTACTTTATTAAGTATATAATTAGCAGAAAGTATTGATTCCTCCCAAAAATTCTGAGGTAATCCAGAACTGATTAACATGGCATCCATCATTTATTTTAAAGTCCTATTTTTCCTTTTAGCAATTCCATTTTGCTGAGGTGAGTAAGGAGCGGTGGTTTGATGAATTATTCCATGTTCTTTACAAAACTCACCAAAAGATGATTCATATTCACCACCTCTATCTCTTCTAAGTTTTTTTAATTTTCTTACCAAGTTGATTTTCGACTTCATTCTTATATTGAATGAAAGTTTCAAAAGCTTCATCATTTGTTCGAATTAAATAAACATAACTATATCTAGTATAGTCATCCATGAAAGTGATAAAATATTTTTTCTCACCTCTAATTTGAATTGATTTAAAATCACAAATGTCACTATGAATTAATTCAAGTGGCTCCGTACTTCGTTCAATTGAATGAAAATGAGTTTTAGTTAATTTTTGCCTCAACGCAAATTTCACATTTATGATTTAAATCAATGTCAAATTTAGGTAAACATTCCATATTAATTAATCTACACAAAGATCTATAATTAATATGTCATAGTCTACCATGCCATAAATTTGAAGGTTCAAGCAAGTAAGAAAAAGATATATTTTTATTAATAACAGATGGTACAACAGTCATTACATTCATTTTGAAAAGGCCACCGGATATGTAACCTTTTGCTACATACATCACGTTTTTGGTAAGTACAAAGCCTAAACCCATTTTTACTCAACAGAGATCCGGAGACTAGATTCTTGCGAATATCCGGTACATGCAGCACATTGTTAAGAGTGAGTTCCTTTCCATATGTCATCTTCAGAATAATCTTTCATTGTCTTTCAACTTCAGAAGTCGAGGAGTTGCTCATAAAAAGTTGTTCACTGTTGTCCACTATTGAATAAGATGTGAACATCTTTTTGTTGGCACAAACATGGCGAGTAACACCAGTGTCCACCCACTATTCTTTAGGATTTCCGACAAGCTTTGCCTCGGAAACAACTGTAGAAAGATTTATGTCCTCAACACCATTGGAACTTCTGTCTACTTCGGTCATATTAGCTTGAGCAGACTTCTTGCTTGATTTTCCTTTGCCTTTGCGTTTGTTATGGCAATCTTTGGCCCGATATCCCTTTTTGTCAAAGACGTAACATTTACCATTGAAATTGTACTTTTTAGTTTCCCCTCATTTAAAGCCTTGTGCAAAACTTTCTCCAGAAAACTTTTGTTTCTTAGCTTTTGGAGCATGTTTCACCATATTTGCCTTAAACTCCATTGAATGCTTACTAGTTCACTTTTCAGACTTGCTGTTGTCCTCCACAATCCTTAAACACACAATTAATTTTTCCAAAGTCATTTATTTGCACTTGTGTTTGAGGTAGTTTTTGAATTCCCTCCAGTCTTGTGGTAATTTTTCAATTAAGGTAGTAACCTGGAAGGATTCACTGAGAGACATGCCTTCTGCATGAGTGTCATGCAAAATGAGTTGGAGATCTTGAACTTGGCTAATCAAAGTCTTAGAATCAACCATCACAAAGTCTAAAAATTTGCCTACTATGAATTTCTTCAAGCTAGCATCTTCTGTCTTGTATTTTTTCTCCAAAGACTCACAAAATTCCTTTGTCGTCTTGATAGGACTGTAGATGTTGTACAATGTGTTGTCAAGTCCATTCAAGATATAGTTCCGACAAAGGAAATTAGCATGTTTCCAGGCATCGACCGCAACAACTACTTGCCGGTCGGTTTCATCCTCTTTCAAAGTAGGAGTATCTTCACGGAGGAAACGCGCTAGGTTGAGAGTAATAAGATAAAACAACATTTTTTGCTGTCATCTTTTAAAATCAGTTCCTGAGAACGTTTCTGACTTCTCACCGTGATTGACTGGCACAGTCACAACAGAAAGAGGGATTGGCGCAATTGCAATCATCATACTAGTACTTGTTTGAGCATTAATTTGACCATTTTCAGTAGCCATGAATTCTAAATTATAAAACAAAATTAGAATTAGAATTTCATACTACATAGAAAATTTAAACAAAAATCACAAAATTAAATTCTGTAAAAAATAAAAGAAACAATAATTGTAACTTTTATTTCCAATTAATTTGAAAATAAAATAAGATTTTATTTAAACAAATTAATTTCACACAGAAAATTAAATTTCTGTAACATTTCAAAAATTAAAATGCTGAAACAGAATTTTAATTAATGAAAACTTAGAAATTATTTCTGAAAACCAAAATTAATTTCTGACCAATTTCACAAATAAATATTCTGAATTGTTAATGACTACCAGTATATTACTACTAGTTGTCAAAGAAAATAAACAGTATATTACTACTATTTGTCAAACAGTATATTACTACTATTTATTTTTCCAACCAGAATATTATTTTGTAAATCCACATAAAATAATTTCTGTAAGAAGAAGAAAACGAAAAGGAAACAAATGAAAAATTATGTATAAACAGAATAATTCGAATCTGTCTTAAGATTGTTGGAACAATCTGCTGGGTAAAATAAATAACTTGAAACAAATCAAACACATAAAAATAAATTACTTACAAAATTTATTTTATCGAAATGAAAAAGTACAAAAAGATTAAGTCGAGTGTGTGACACTTTGTCCTTAAGACAAATTCACCCCGCTACGGTACTTACGGATAAATAGTGTCTATCTCCCAGGATACAATGATCTTCACAAATTGTAGTAGCACTCCAAACAATCTGTACGACGAACAAAATCTGTGTTCTCTTTGAATTTTTTCCTATAAGACTAGTATATAGAATAATGCAAATAGAGCAAAAATTCAAAGCAAGAAGAGAATTTCTGAATACCAAACTGCTAGAAATGATGTATTATTTATAGGCAAAATAAGTGACCTTTAGATCTGTCCGAACAAGTACAAAAGGGATGAACAAATCTATTTTCAAGCTAGAACAGGTGCAGTTCGAATTTGAATAGATCTGCTGGCAGTTTTGGATAGCTAACTACTAGGTAGTTTAATTAAAAATAGTTTAAACTGTTTAGAAATTCTCGGATTGGAAGAGGTACAATGTTGGACAAAAATTTAAATTCAATTTTGGCACAAAATTGTACCTCTTCCAGTCCAAAAATTTCTAAACAGATTAAATTATTTTTAACAGATTTAAACTGCCCAGCAGTTATCTGTCCAAAAGTGCCATCAGATCTGTTCAAATTTGAACTACACCTGTTTCAGTTTAAAAATAGATCTGTTCATCACTTTTGTACTTGTTTGGACAGATCTAAAGGTCACATATTTTGCCTATAAATACTACATCATTTCCAGCAGTTTGGTATTTAGAAATTCTCTTCTTGCTTTGAATTTTTGCTCTATTTGCATTATTCTATATACTAGTTTTATAGGAAAAAAATTCATAGAGTTTAGAACATAGGTTTTGTTTGCCGTATAAATTGTTTGGAGTGCTACTACAATTTGTGAAGATCATTGTATCTTGGGAGATAGATGCAATTTATCCGTAAGCACCGTAGCGGGACGAATTTGTTCTAAGGATAGAGTGTCACACACTTGACTTGATCTTTTTGTACTTTTACATTTTGGTAAAATAAAGAGAGCAAAACTAGAAGGAAACTAATGAATTTCGGATAAAAAATATGCTGGAAATGTCCTGGTATATATAGGGCTGAACATGTATGAAATTCAAACTCGGACAGATTTGATTTTTACTGAACAGGTGCAGTTACTGTTTGAACAGATAACTGCTACAGTTTCACATCTGTTCATAACTGTTTAATCTGTTTAGGAATTTTCAGACTAGAAAAGGTACAATGTTGGATAGAAATTTAAATTCAATTTTGGTACAAAATTTGAATTAATTTCATTTAGAAAAAATAATTTTTCTTACAAGAATTTTTTGGAAAAAATTCAAATAAATTTTATCAAAAAAATTAATGTTAGAACTGACTCGACCCTCGACCCATAACCTCGTATCTGAACCCGTCCCAGCCGGTCGGCAGCGACGGTGCGCACATGGTGCTTTGGGCTAAGGTTTACTTTCTCCATAACTCTTCCCTTCTACAAACTTGGGATGCCCCTTGGGGCCCAACCTAAGTTTGTACAGTTAGAGCTTATATACTCACAAAAGCTCACTTAAAGTTTAAATTTGGGACAAGCCTTACAAGAAAACCCACATTTAATTCTTTAATTGTCCATTCCACGAACCCGAAAATGACGTCAAGTTCTCATTCACTCATAAATTGTTTTGACAAACCGTCTTCACCGTGTGACTTACCATGCGGCAAGGAACATGCCATCTCTTTGGACCCACCCCAAAAGACGTATGGGCCCCACTCAAGTTTGGGCTTAAAGTTGGCCCAAAATAAGCCTATAAAAACCAAATTTTCAACAGGAACCTCTATAAGGCTAGGTAGAATAGTGTGGGAATGGAATAGAAGGCTAGGTAGAATAGAATGTTCATTTTATTCTATTGCTTGGATGCTTAATGGTAGCAAAAATTTTCCAATCCGATTGTATTTATTTTAATTCGATTTTAATATAAATGAGTTGAGAAAGCATTGATTGGATAAAGTAAATTATTGTTGCAACATATAAAGGTGTATTACTAAAAATATTAAGTTTAAACACAAGAATTCACGCGC